AAGCAAGGAGGGGCGGCCTGGGAAGAATACAGGGATGTTGTCCAGGAAGCTAGGGACCAGGTTAGGAAAGCTAAGGCCCAGTTAGAATTAAACTTGGCTAGGGATGTTAAGGGTAATAGGAAGGGACTCTATAGGTATGTAGTGAATAAAAAACAGACTAGGGACAATGTAGTCCCCATTCGGAAGCTCTTGGGAGAACTGGCTACACAGGATTTGGAGAAGCCTGAGGTTCTGAATGACTTCTTTGCCTTGGTCTTCACTGGCACAGGCTCTGACCGCACCACCCAAGTCAGCAATTGTGAGAATGAAGACCTTGGGCCCACTGTAGGACAGGATCTAGTTCAAGACGATCTCAAAAACCTGAACGTACACAAGTCCATGGGACCTGATGAAATCCGTCCACGGGTCCTGAAGGAGCTGGCAAATGAAGTTGCTAAGCCACTGTCCATTATAATTGAAAAATCACGGCAGTCACGTGAAATTCCTGACGACTGGAAAAAGGGAAATATAACCCCCATTTTCAAGAAGGGGAAAATGGATGACCCAGGGAACTACAGACCAGTCAGTCTCACCTCTGTGCCTGGCAAAATCTTGGAGCAGATTCTCCTGGAAGGCATGCTAAGGCACATGAAAAACAACAAGGTGCTTGGTGACAGCCAGCATGGCTTCACCAAGGGGAAATCCTGCCTGACCAATTTGGTGGCCTTCTATGATGGGGCTACAGAACTGATGGACAGGGGTAGAGCAGTTGATGTCATCAGCAGGTTGAAGGAGGTGATCCTGCCCCTTTACTCTGCTCTTGGGAGACCACCCTCGAGTATTGTGTGCCGTTCTGGTGTCCTCAACATAAAAAGGACTTGGAACTGTTGGAACAAGTCCAGAGAAGGGCCACAAGGATGATCAGGGGACTGCAGCACCTCCCGTATGAGGGCAGGCTGAGAAAGTTGGGGCTGTTCAGCCTGGAGAAGAGAAAGCTGCGTGGAGACCTCATAGCAGCCTTCCAGTATCTGAAGGGGGCTTATAGGGATGCTGGGGATGGACTCTTCATTAGAGACTGTAGTGATAGGACAAGGGGTAATGGGTTCCATCTTAGACAGGGGAAGTTTAGATTGGATATAAGGAAGAAATTCTTTCCTGTGAGGGTAGTGAGGCACTGGAATGGGTTGCCCAGGGAGGTTGTGAATGCTCCGTCCTTGGCAGCGTTCAAGGCCAGGTTGGACAAAGCCTTGGGTGGCATGGTTTAGTGTGAGGTGTCCTGCCTATGGCAGGGGGGTTGGAACTAGATGATCTTAAGGTCCTTTTCAACCCTAACTAGTCTGTGATTCTATATGAAGACATATACTCAGAAAATCTGTGATATTCAGTAGATATGTACTCATGGAGGGGAATAGTATTCCATTCTCTGGAAGTTTCTTGCACAAATCTACAGTGCAAGAAAATTGAGCACCATTATTCAACTACTTCCATCAGCTGGGAATTTTTTATTATACCCAACAGTAATCATCAGTTGCAATGCCTTCTATTCAACAAGTAATTTTCTAAGTTAAAAATGCTAATAAGTCTGGTTAACAGCATAAAACAGAGCTAAATTATGAGCCTCAGAATTACAGATGTTTTCATTTGCACTTAATCTTGCAGCTACTAACCACACTGAATTTAACAGTAACAAACTCCACTACACTTAACATGTCTTTCAGAAATGACTTTACAGACTGACACTGTGAAAGTATTTACCTCAGTACAGACAAGAGTAAACGAGCAGTGGTCTAAGAAACAGGGAGCCAGAAAATGTTCATATTTTTCATTGTAGGGAAAATGTCATCCTATCTAATAAAATTTCTGGGTCATATGGGTCATAGCAAAGTACTTGTAATAAGTTTATCATAAAGGCAATTTTGTTTGAAAACTGGGTGTTGTTTAAGTAACATAATGGTTCACAGTGTGTCAGAATAAAACTTAACAGTCTATATAGTAGAAATATATTCTGCATGAACAATTCATGAAAGTTTGGATAATTTCATTTTTCATCTTGATTGGGGAAAAAACAAAATGAAATCTCAAGCAGTAGGAAAGCATTTCCTACACACTTGTACTGGGAAATGTCTAATGGTCCAGGAGAAAACTGCTGCTGGAACCTACACCAGCAGCAAGGGCAGTGCTAGTAGAGTATGAAATTGTGCAAATCCACATTGTTGTGTCAGCTGCAGTTACTACTCAGAATGGGGGACTCTCCCTCTGGATCAGTAGTTGCTGCAAGAAAGGTGGGAGAAGACAATAGGAAAATTATTTGTGTATTGACTGTTGCTTCCTGTGACAGGTACATTCTTTCTGCACAAGGAGCTTGTGAATATCCAGTATTGCTTTTGTCTCTTTTGTCCAAAGGTAAATTTGAATTAGTCATCCTTGTTGAGAAGGAAATTAGCCCTGATCCATATTTTCAAATTGTGCTGATCCTACAGCAAAACATTCTACAAATATCTGCAGCATGTAGTAGCGCTGGTAAAAGTTAGTGGATGCTTATACAAAATAGGGCATTAATTACATAACTGGAAGTGCATTGGAGAAATATATGCCTCCATGAAATCAAGCCACAAGTTAGAAACTTGAAGTCAGATGACTTCGTGAACAAGTCTAATACCAATGAAAGACAGCCAAGCATTCAATTTTGCCTTTATTTATCAAAAAGCAGGGATTGCAAGTATGTGGAGGATTTCTGAGTCTTCCAATTGTTATTTGAATTTGCTGGTCCTTTGAGGAAGAAATCATTGGAGTAAGGAATTCATAGACTCATAGAATTACTGCTTTGTTGTCTGATTAATGCCTGTTGATCTTTTCTTAAAATGTGCTAAAAATTCACAGGTGGTGCATTTAACCCAGGAATTCATTAGCACTAATTTATCAGTGCCACATGTCCAGTTTGACCTGCAATTGGCCAACTCAAAATCCATTAGGTTTATGAGAAGGTGCAAAAGCACTGTTTTCAACAGGGCTTTCCAATTATAATTGCATTAAATACTGGACAAAACCTTGTATTTCAGGAGAAAAAAAATGTATCCAATAAGAGCTTCTTTATAATTTTTTTACTCATTTTGTGAACATTTGCGATGTGACTTTTTCACAGATGATTTGAAATCTTGGGAGATTTGTTTTCACTTTTCCCCATTTGTTCTCTCGTTTCTTATTCCAGTGAATCTTAAATAAATTTACTATTTACTCTCTTTATTATATTGTTTTTTTCCTTCTTAATATGTTTACAAAAGTACACAGTGGCTCATGCTGCTACTAGTCTTTGCTCTAAGTGCTGCCTTCACTATAATCAACATCAAATGTTTGCCTTAGATTATAATACATGCATTTTTTTTAAAGACAACAGAACAGGACTTTGATCTCAATGAGCTTTGGTAAGGGCAAGAAGGAAGTTTTGTATTTCAGTAGTATCCTAATGAAAACAGTGTTATGGAAACAAGGAAAACTTCTCTTGCACTAATTTTCTACTTTATTACTGTATTGCATACTGTGTTTTACGTTGCCCTTTGTACTGCTTTTCTGATAAAGAAGAATGAACACTGTCACAGAAAATGCCTCCATCTTGGTTTTCCTTTTGTCAAATCATAAAGTGGTTTAAAGCACATTTTTTTCTTTATGTGTGTTTTGGTTTTTTTTCCCTGGTATAGTTCAAGTTGTCTGTCTAGATGGACTTCTGTCACTTTTCTTAACATAACCAAATAGGTCTTCTGTTCAGAAGTCAATTTCTTAACTTCATCTTGCTAACCTGTCTATAAAGCCTTTCAGCCTGATAGAGTCTATTCTTGTCCAGTGGTTATATTCTTTCATTATTTAAAAGCTGCCACTTTGTCATCCAGGCATTTTACTTCTAATAACATGAGAATTGCTACAGCAGCAGCAGCATTTTTGCTGCTCCTTTCTGATTCTTTTCAACTTACCTATACACTCCTAAGAATGAAGTACCAAGGTCTCTCTGCAGTATTTTAGGTGCAATTTTCTGTTCATTCTCTAAAGAGGGACTTATTAAGCCTTTGTCATGATACCATCTTTCCCTTCATACAGTTTCAAATTTGCTTTATAAACACATATCTAATTTACTGTCCATTGTCACTTGTCCTTTAACCAGTGTTCGTTTTAAGATTACTCTCTCATAGAATATCTATTTCATATTATTTATTTACTAGATAAATAATTCACATGAGAAAGCCAGCTGCATCTCCATCCTGATATTTTCTGTCCATATTTTATCTGGTTTATAGTTATGAATCTTTGAGCTCTCTTAATTCTCTGAGAATCTATGAATTTAGTATCATCTTCAAATTTAATTACCGTGGTGGCTTGCCCCAGCCTTAAATCATTCAATAGCATGTTTGAATAACAGCAGGTGTAACAATGATCTTTGTAACACACCATTGCACACTTCTGTACATTGTATGTTGCTACAGTTTTGAACTTCATTATCCTTTCTTTTGTCCTTCACTACATTTTCATTTCCCATTTGCTTAAAGCCAACAGCATTGCCATTAATTTGGCATGATGCTAAATGAAAACAACACCTGTATGTTTGGGACTTGCATCACTTTTTTTTTTATCCAGTCATTTTATAAACACATATAAAATAATCTCTTTATTCATTGGGTATAAGCCTCCTGCTAAGCAGGTCTCATGACTCTAATCTCCTCAATGTTCATTTATGGGTATATTGTCAGAGATGTGTTAGTTCCAGAGAGGAGCAAGCGTTTGACACCTTATATTTAAATTATTATTCTACCCAGCTCATGGAAAGGTGGGATATTTGATTATACTCTATTCTACAGGAAGCTGTTAGGTGGAAAGATCTGGAAAGGCCTATCTCCAGGTTCATCCTTCCCTATTCTATAATATGAATGAATATAAATAAATCAACAGAAGGCAGTGTGCATATCTGCAAGAGGAGAGACATTATGTTCTCTTCTGGAAATAAACTGTAACTGTCTTTTGTGATTTGTTTCCAGATCTGCTGCCTGTAGAGGAGGCTGGAGAAGGACCGGTGTTGCTGTTTGTTCAAATTATGCCATAAAATTCTGAGCTTTGTCTTATGATCTTCCAACATTTCTTACATTATGTAAGTTTCCCTAAGCAATGGAGTTAAATACATGGTTCCTAAAGATTAGTATTCTCTCTCTTCCTTCTTTATGATCACTGTTAGATTTTCTTTTCTTGGGTACTTTCTAATTCTCTATTGCTTAAACAATTTTAGATCTTTCTGTAAATTTTTTAGCTAAGTCCCTGAATACCTTACAATTCATGTTCAATGATATGCTCCTTATTACTTCCTAATTGTCCAAAGTTGCTTTGCGCATTTTGTATAACACTAACACTTTCTTCTTTTTAACAGCTGAGCCTTAGGAGAACAGGTTTGCATTATCTATTTTATCTGACTCCTTATTTATTAATGAGCTAAATCTGACTTGTTTTTCTTTGTCCATTTATTGGATCTGCAGACATCTTCCTTACTCTCTTGACCCTATTTTACTACCAGCTATTCTGTTGTTTTTACCTAAATGTTTCCAGTTGCAGAATATGTGCTTTGCACTTCTGACAAAGAAATCTTGTTAGCCCATCAAGGATTTACTTTTTTCTTTACATTCTGACCATGAATTTTCTTTTCTTGTCATAATTGCCTTACATCTTATGTAACTTGGTTCCAGAAATACATATTTCAACAAATACTTTTTGGACTTAAGATTCTGAAGTCGTGTCCTGATCAATCTACTACAACTATGGCCTTTGAATATTGGAAAGAGCTAAAACTTAACCATCTCAATTACTTCCTTTTGCTCTTACAAAATACAATATTTTTATATTCCTTCATTCAGGAAGAACATTTCTTACTTTGTTCAGTTGAAGCACCTTGTATTCTAAAAGATGCTGAATGTCGCTATTTCTCACAATTTCTACTAATCCTTCTTGAGCAGGCTGGTTAGATCTTCTCCTTTCTGGATCATAAAATTGCTTTCTGTGATGATGCATACTTGATTAGTTTTGCTTTATCCAACAGCTGTCTTGGTACTTAATGTCCCCCATGACAAGTATGGTTTTGCACATCTTGGGAGATGGTCCAGGAATCTTTTTCTGTTTAATCCAGTCTTGATGCAGTCTTCCAGATGTTCAGCTTAATTCACCTCCATACCTCTTTCCTGATACTGTTCATCAGAGTGCTTCACTAAGTTTTTATACATTAAATAACTTTTTTTTGTGCATCGATTAATCTACATTTGCATACGTTAGTGTTGCAGTTAATGTGAATTAGCATAAAACATTTATTTTCCAGTGGAAATGAGGCAGTCTGCTGAACTTGTTATATAGGAAAAGCATGCATACAGATCCTCGCATGTCCATATACACAGTAAAATGTGGTACTTTGATACAAATTATTTCTGGTAATTAGGTTGTCAACACAGAGCTTCAGCAAAATATTTTACCTTAATTTTATCTATCGCCCCTTCTTTCCACCATATTTTTTTTGTTCCAATGTAGAAATTTTGTCCAGTGATTTTAACATGAATTTTCAGTATTACTTTGTCATGTGTCAGATATGATTCTATTCCACAAAAATCAGTCAGTGATTATTTTTTTTTAAATGCTTTTATTAAAATAACCCCTGTGACCTTATCTGCCATTAAAATGTAGTCGTGGAAAGACAAGAAAACATACTGAAATTAAGTCAGTTGCTGTTACAAAGATCAGGTACTTCAGAGAACCAAGACAGACAAAGAATGGGAGAACAGAAGTATTGCTATCCTATTTTACAGATAAAGAACTGAATAACAGAGAGATTAAGGTCAGACAGGGAGGCTGTGGCAGGTCTGGGAGCTAGTGCCATAATACTTCCTTAATCACAAAGCCATTCTTCATTCTGAAAGATTTTATTGTTTATTCTTCAGACACCTTCTGTGGAGCTGAAAGAGAAGAAGAGCTTGGATCAAGCTTCAGATCTAGAGTGAGGATAACTTTGCTGTTTGACTTAAAGACTAACTCCAGGATAGGATCTCTACTGAAGTCTCTCATTCTTAGAAGTGCAGTTATCTCCTGGTGATATGGAGACAGGTTCTATGTAGTTAAATTCAGGTTACAGTGATTTTTGCACATCTAATTAATTTTAGTGAGTATGAGAAAAAATACTTTTGGTTTACATTTATTTCACATTAATTTGCATTATGGGAGAACTCAGTTTTCTCCAAGTTGCCTAATTAAGATGGTAACGTGCTGCTTTTCTGGTGTAAGTGGGAAGATGCTGATTCAGAAAGCTCCCATTTATCACTGCCTATGTTTTAGCAGTCTGTGGATTCCAAGGTCTGCTAATTTACATCACAGGACACCTTTTCAGATTTGTCCTGCTCTTCTGTCAGTAGGGAGACAATGTATGTTTTGCAGTTTCCTAATGGCTTTAAAAAGGAACAAGAAATGTCAATAGGCAAAAAGGCCAAAAACCAGGGAGAACTGATTCTCACTAACAGATCTTTTGGGGATTAGTCATGTAAGTTCTTGGTTCTTTCTTTCCACAGGCATTTTTACAATAAATGGTATAAGATCTAAAAGCAAGATAAATGTTAAAGGGCCTTTATTCACTGCCTCATCCAACAAATGGGTGAAAATTGAAGAAAATAGCATCTAAAAAGTCTAAGCCCTTGATTTCAAATCTTCAATAGTTTGAAGAAGCAGGTCTTCTATTTATAGCTTTGATTATCTTGAATTCTATGTCTCCCATGGCTTATACAAAGAAGCAAAAAACATGTATTTAAAAAGAAACATGTAAATCCATTTTGTTATCAAAATTAGCTGTGTTCTAAATTATATATACTTTTTATAGAAATGGATGTTACCAGTTTATTCTATTACTTCAGTCATTTTTCCTGTGATTTTTTTCCCCATATAAAAACAAAACAAAACACAGAAGTCCACAACATACTAAATTATTTCAGCTATAATAGCCTCATGTTTAATATACTGCTTACTTATCTTCTGGTTTATTTTAGTTGGTTACATAGATGCTCTCCTTCCACAGCGTAATATTTATAATGAAATTAGGAAAGTGGATGTGTCTGCTCGAACTTACATCATTTTTATCCAGTCCTGCCTAAAGATGCTCTTTTTTTTCATTCAGTAATTACAACTGATAGAGTTAAGAATGGAAAGAATTTTGAGTGTTTCAGATTCATCATGTCTGCTGTAATGAGAAATCATTTTATGAAGTATACCATGACCTGTATAGTCAGGTGATGATTTTCCTGTCCTTGCTCTTTAAATTTCTTAAGAACAAATCTTTTGTCCACCTATATTCATTTCCATGGGAAGCCTTTCCATGAGATAGTCCTGCAGTAGTCTGCTTATTGATTTTGAATGATACTGAAAATAAGAGACTCTACTCTTCAAGATGAACCTTTGGGCTATATTTTCCCCTTCATTATTGTCACAAACTGGCATATACATAAGAGCACAGATTAACCTCTGAATTTGGCAGTACTCAGGAGGCCAACCCCCCTACCCTTTAGAAACACCCTCTAAGTCAGGCCAAAAGGAGAAGACCCAAAGTCATTTTTGAAGAAAAACGTCCTCTGAGTTATCAAAACATAGAACTGATTAACAGGGGTAGAGCAGTTGATGTCATCTACCTGGACATGTGTAAAACGTTCAACACTGTCCCACACGACATCCTTGTCTCTAAATTGGAGAGACATCAATTTGATGGATGGACCACTCAGTGGATAAAGAAGTGGCTGGGTGGCCGCACACAAAGAGTTGTGGTCAATGGCTCAGTGTCCAGCTGGAGACCAGTAACGAATGGTGTCCCTCAGGGATAGGTGTTGGGACCAGTCTTGTTTAACATCTTTGTCGCTGACATGGACAGTGGGATTGAGTGCGCCCTCAGCAAATTTGCTGATGACACCAAGCTGTGTGGTTCGGTTGATACACTGGAGGGAAGGAATGCCATCCAGAGGGACCTTGACACACTTGTGAGGTGGGCTGATGCCAGCCTTATGAAGTTTAACCATGCCAAGTGCAAGGTCCTACACCTGGGTCAAAGCAATCCCAGGCACAGCTACAGGTTGGGCAGAGACAAGATTCAGAGCAGCCCTGTGGAGAAGGACTTGGGGGTGCTGGTCAATGGGAAAATGAACAAGAGCCAGCAGTGTGCCCTCGCAGCCCAGAAAGCCAACCGTATCCTGGGCTGCATCAAAAGGAGTGTGACCAGCAGGTCAAAGGAGGTGATCCTGCCCCTTTACTCTGCTCTTGTGAGACCTCACCTGGAGTATTGTGTGCAGTTCTGGTGTCCTCAACATAAAAAGGACATGGAAGTGTTGGAACAAGCACAGAGGAGGGCCACAAGGATGATCATGGGACTGGAGCACCTCCCGTATGAAGACAGGCTGAGGAAGTTGGGGCTGTTCAGCCTGGAGAAGAGAAGGCTGCATGGAGACCTCATAGCAGCCTTCCAGTATCTGAAGGAGGCCTATAGGGATGCTGGGGATGGACTCTTCATTAGAGACTGTAGTGATAGGACAAGGGGTAATGGGTTCAGACTTAAACAGGGGAAGTTTAGACTGGATATAAGGAGGAAATTCTTTCCTGTTAGGGTGATGAGGCACTGGAATAGGTTGCCCAGGGAGGTTGTGAATGCTCCATCCCTGGCAGTGGTCAAGACCAGGTTGGACAAAGCCTTGGGTGAGATGGTTTAGTGTGAGGTGTCCCTGCCCATGGCAGGGGGGGTTGGAACTAGATGATCTTCAGGTCCTTTCCAACCCTAACTATTCTATGATTCTATGATTCTATAATATTTTAAGTTGGAGGAGACATCTAGAGGTTGTCTGACCTCCTGCTCAAATCATGTCTCACTTAGAACTAGAGCCATTTTGGTAATTAAATCACCATCTAATGTTAATGACCCACTGGTGCAAGTGTTCAGTCTTCCTGTCTTTCCCTGTCTGCCTTCCCCATCAAGAAGTCATGTTTCTTACCACTGCATATGCATTTAGCTTCCTTCTATTTCAAAGGGGGGGCAGGAAGTAAGCTTTAATTGTCTTGTACTGCTCTAATATAAGTTAGACTGGATAGTTACTCTGAGATGCAGTCTTCTTTGGAGCTAGCAGCATTTGTAGTGTTGTCCCAGAATCTAGAACTTAACTCTATCTGCTCTGCACAGTAGTAGATTCCCTGCCAAAACATTGTTAATAGGGTAGAGAAGAACTGGATGGGGAGGCAGAGTTAGGTAGCTCAGAGATTTATGTAGTAGTGGGTTTGGAAAGCTGTGTATAGTTGGTGAGGAGTGGATCAGCAGCCACAAGATTTAATACTGCTTTTGGAAGGTAGGGTTTGTAAGAGTAAATGGCAAAGGTAGACCTGCCTAGGCATCGTACACTGCAAGTGGGACTTACTTATTTGTCTCCTCTCTCATACTCCTTCTTCATAGTATCATATTTTATGCATCTACAATTAGCATTGTAAGCCTGTTTCTCTTGATCATTACATAACAGATGAAACCATGAAATAGTTAGAAAACAGAAAGGCAGAAATTACTATTCTTCTTGGAAGGTGAGTTTCTTAGATTTTGACCTGCAGGATGAGGCATACATAGCTGGCTTCTCAGAGATGGAAAGGACAGTAGAGAAAACTTGACAAATGAAAATGTGAACAGCTGATTTGCATAGCCAGCAGACCTGAACAGACACTTCTACTGAACTAACTGTTCCTTCAGAAAGGCTGCAGCTTACAGGACTGAAGACAGTAGCCAGGCTTCTTAAGTAGAATTTGTGGCTCTATATCTTTCTTTTTTTTCTTTTTTTTTCTTTTTGTGGAGCTTTGAACCATGAAAGACAGGCTCTGTATCTGCATGTTTTGCAGTGGGCACTAAGCACCTTGCAGTAGCAGGACATTTCAGACTTACTGCTGCTTTATTGCTATTACAAATACTGTCATGGCAACTAATAGCACTTGTGCAGACAAGCAACCTTTTGTAGAGACTCAAGCAACAGGACCACTGGGTGGCCACCCGGTGATTACCTTTGTCTCCTTTTATTATGAGTTAGGGAGAAGTACCTCTGTTATCAATGTCACTTACTGAACATTCCTGTGCTTCCAGTTTCACTGGTCTTGCAGCCAGCTCTTCAGCTGTGCATGTCTGTCAGCAATCCTTGAGATCAGGGACAACAATCTTGGAGACAGTGGACCTCAGTTCCTCACACCAGTCCTTGAGATAATGGAACCCAGGGTCTTATCTCAGTTCTTCACACCCATCTTCCAGATAGTGGACCTCAGCTCCTCACACCAATCTTTGAGATAATGGACAGTGGAATCTGATTTCAGCTCAGTCTCTCACAATTCTTCTAATTGTATATGATTGATAAGTACTTACTTTACCCTAAAATCTGGTACATAGACTTTAAATAGTATGTTGCACAGTTTGAGCTTGCAATGAATTGTATTTTGAGAGTATGTTCTTAGTACTGCGTATAAGTATCTTTTAAAAACCTAAGTCTTAGTTTGCATACTCCACAGAAGATAGGAGACTGTGCACATGGTCCCTCCCACTTTACATGCTTCATATTTGTACTCTGGAGTCTAAAGATTATGTGGTTGGTCATAGTTAAGTGGGGAGAGGGAAGGTTTGGATGTGACAAGAGCAGAGCTCAGAATATCTGGCTTCAAAATTGTTGCAGCTCTGTATCTTAAAGGCAGGCCGTGGGTGTGTGCCAGTGGTGAGTAAGTAGGTATTTTGAGTGGGACAGTGCTTTCCTAACTCACGTGTACCCGTTAGCACACTTGGTCAGCATGGAATATAGTCTGTGATCAGCATCTTTTCTCATTGTCCTGGGTTCAGCAGTAGCAGTCATGTTTTTCCTTTGTGTTAACTGGTGCAGTGCTGTGTTTTGACTTCCAGCTTGAGAACAGTGTTGGTGAAGCCGATGTTTTCGGTTGTTGCTAAGTGATGTTTACCCTGACCAAGGACTCTGTGAGGCTCATGCTCTGCCAGGGAGGAGGGGAGGCTGTGAGGAAGGAGAGACGGGGCGCCTGACCTGGGCTAGCCAGGGAGGTATTCCATACCACAGCACGTCATGCCCGGGGTGAGGGGTAACTGAGAGTTAGCCGGAAGGACAGGGGCTTCCGGGTGGAACTCACTTTCTTGGCCGCTGGTATCGTATTCTCTTCCCTTGTTATTTTCCCTTATCATTGTTTTAGCTGATAGTAGCGGTGGCGATTTGTTGCTGGACTGCTCTTGTCTCAACCCGTAGGAGTTGCACTCTCTCGATCCTCCACCCTGTTCCTCCGGGAGCGAGGAAGGGGAGAGCCCCGGTGCGGGGGGGGGGGGGGGGGGGACGGACAGGGACCTCGATTGTTGTCAGCTCGGCACCACTCACTGGGAGTGAGTGAACAAGCTACCTGACTGGGTTTAAACCACGACACTCATAAACCACAGAAATAAATAAAATGTTTCTTTTAGGCAGAGATGATTCAGATATGCAAAACTGCATTATTTTTGCTTCACCTAAATTCAATTAGAGCCTCTGTATGAAGCTTTTAATCTCACTGACTTTTTACACCGAATTAAGTGTTGACTACGTACAATAGTCCCAATCATGATTTTCTGTCCTGAAGAAGTGATCACACTATGCTTCATATAGCCTTTACCTGCTAGCATGCTGGATTTCTTATGATTATTTTTAATACATTCCTTTACTATAGTTGTGCAATAAAAATAAATTTCTAGGTATCTTGAAACTGACATTTTTCTTCCTGGCATAAGCCTTTTGAGAGGGAATGATGGAAGACTGAAAGTTGTCTTTGTTTTTTATCAGAAGATAAAAATGAAGTGACTGAGCATTTTACAGTTTATAAACTCTAGCCCTTGGATAAAGCAAGAATATTGCTGGCTAAAAGCAGATTTTCTGCTTTGGCAGTTCTGTTTCCACTGATACCAAATTTCCTCTCAGCTCCTGCAGTGGTGTATAAAAGCCTTTCATGGAGGTAAATTACTGTGTTTCTTCTGCAAAGGGACAGGATTTCTTAATGTGTTTTCAAGCCTTATAATCTCACCAGACACCATATGTTAAAATATAATCTCCTGATTTTAAAGTCACACTCTTGAATTTGCAGGAAAAACAAGTCATGATTTGTGGTTTGATAAGTTTGGCAGCATTAGAGAGCTGGCTTTTGGTACATTCCAAGTGGTAAGTTGTAGTAAAGACAATAATGTAGTGTCTAGTATCTGTACCTGTAATTTCCAAAGTTTAATACCTGTAGTCTTTATTAAGATGTACAATTACTTTTTTTCATTAAGTGCTTTACAATGCCCAAATTATAAAATTAAACTCGAGTTATAAGCCTCTCAGATTTACCAAATTTTCCCTTTTCTCCCAGTGGCTTGTCATTAGATGTTCAGTTACTATCGTAAGTTCCTTTTTTCAATCTGCTCTGTAGTTGTTTATGTCCCAGTGATGTTTTACTGTGATTTATATTAGTTTGTGAGATTTAAATTTTAACACTGTAAGAAAATACTGGATTACATTTACACTGAATAAAGCATGGATCTGTAAGAAAGGATGATGGGGCTCTGAATCACCTTGTTGGCTTTCAGATTCTGGAATTAGCCAGACACCTGGCTTTTTCTCAAAAAGAGACAGAAACAGTCACATAGATCTTGTACAAACATATTTTCACAAGAAAACCATGCTGTAGGAATCATTTTGCAAGACCCAAACATCTGGCTAATCCAGGATGATCCCAGAATGATGTTTGCTCTGTCATTACAATACAGGAGAAATTCTATGGAATAAACATACAGGATAAGTCATATGTCTTCTGTGTTTTTAAGCGATTTGAGGAAGTGAAACAGAGTGTGCAGCAGGACGTTGTTTCCCTCCTGTATGGATTAGTAGCAACACTGTATTCAGTCTCCAGTGTTAACACCACCTAAAATCAGGCTGTTCCTCAGTCCATTGCTTCCATAGACTAACCCAGAGAATTTGAAACAACTTTGTTTGAATTACATATTTTAGCTTGGAATGGCATATCTTAGTTTCGAAGTCTCAGCTAACCAATAATTTAACGTGTGTCTTACTTTTGCCCATTTGCATTATTTAGCCTTCTTGTGTGGCATCTGGCCCTTACATTGGGCCAGATGTAATTGTCATTACATTACAAATTCTTGACATTTTATACAGTAAATTACTTTCTTGCTTATAAAAATTATTCTTTTCTCCTCACTTAGACTGTTGTGAGTTAGAACCAAAACAAACCTACTGACTTAATCAAAGTCAGTAGATTTAATCCTGTGAAAGTGAGCTCAGAGGCACACCCACTACTCATTGTCAGTTTAGCCACCTACTACTTATTGTAAATTCAGCCCTTTTTCACATTGTAAATCTTCTAAGGAATAAATATTTCTAGTTCAGTCTTTAATACAATTAATAGTTGCTATTTGAGAGTTCTCACAGTGTCAGCCAGCAATTTGGAATTCATCTGTTATTAGTATATCATTAATTTTGAATATTTCCAGCTGGTTATTAATTGTTTGCAGTGAGAGTGAAAGATCCAATTGGGCTTTGTTTTTCTAGATTACTTCTACTTTTGAAACAGGGGAATGACAAAGCAAATAATTTTGCTCATATAGAAATACCTTTACAAGTGTTTGAATTTGCATGTTCCGTATGAAGAGCAAGTCTCTCTCCTAATCGTACAGAACAGAATCATAGAAAATAGAATATATTACATATATATATGCATGTTAGAAATACTATATACATATTCATAGATGCAGACAGTTCACAAAATAACAGTCATCCTCTTTTGCATTGAACTATGCTGTTCAGTAATAATTCTCTTTCTTATTTGGTCACTAGTAGTATTTGATATATTCATAGTTCATTACTAAGGGGATTGTTATTCATTCCTTTTGTTTGTGAAGGTAATACATCTGAGCTAGTTGAAGCAGTGATTAGCGCTGAAAGCTTCCTATCTTACATTTGCTAATGCAGGCTAGGTATTTGATACTGCTTTTTGCAAAATACGGTAGAACTTCATTTGTGGCATCATGAAATTCTAGCAATGTGAATGCTTGACTTTGTAACCCTGTTAATGTTCTTTTAATGTAAGTTGTCATTGTGTAGCTTCTTAGCTGTTTTTCTCTTAAGTGAGCTAAAAAATCACTGTACTGATAAGTAGCATCCTGTTAACACTCAGTTGTTTCATGTTCTTGGCTGGAAACTTTTTATCCATCCTACAGATGTTGGTGCTATTTTTTCTTAATTCTCATTGGCTATTTCTTACAAATAGCAGTTTCTATAAATTACAAGCTCTTTAAAACAAAGCCTGTGCTTTACAGTATATACAAAGCATAGTACTTTCAGTCTAGAGAAGTACAGAAAGATTTTTTGAACTTCAAATGTTCCTTAGCTATAGGAAGCATTAAGAAGCATTTATCAATAAAATATTACTTTTCTTGTGGGAGTTTTTCTTTTTATGTTATAGTTAGTCCTTGTTTCAGCTGGGATAGTTGCAAAAGTCTAAAGACTGCCATGATATATATTTCAGATTACTGTGGACATCCATGTACATCCACTTTCCTGCCCTTATGTGTGTAACGGTTAAGATGTAAAGATATGAAGTAAATGGAAATGTTCCTTCAAGTAGGATAAGAAAAGAGAATTTTGGTCATATAAATCTCATTTCCATGTTCCAGATGCAAAGTCCTCTTGCAGTAAAGTCTGTTGAGTCTCAAAGCAATTCTACTGTTATGCCAGGACAATTAAAGAGCTGAACTATTTCTTTATACTTCAACAGAAGTGAAATTTCATCAAATTGTTAAGAAAAAACACCATTTTAAAAGGTGAATCAAAATACAACATATTTAATTTTTAAAATGGAATATCTGGGTTTGGTTTTCTTCCATGTTCAAATTGTGTGAAGACCCCTGTGGTTTAAATAACCCAGTTGTTGTACATTAATAAAAATCCCATTAAATTAAATGGCCACTAGGCATATAGAATGTCCTGTTGCAATTTCAAGAGACAGTTTGTTACAAGACACCCTGCTACGTACCTTTTATTTTATCAAAAAAAGGAGAAAAATAAAAGGTTGCAAAATGTGTTTATTTCTGTGATGTGGTGTTTGTTGGTTTTGGGTGTTGTTTTTTTTTGTATATATATAAAGAATGAAAGAGTTGGCTTATTCTGTGTCTGGTACATTTATAGCACAACCTACAATAAATATATATAATCAGCAGAATCGATCAGTAATTTTCATCCTCTGAACTATTACTTGTTTCCTTTGGAAGATGGCAATTCAAGAAGTAATTCAGTATATATTGTATTAAACTGCTTGAGAGCACTTATTGTGCTTGTTTGCCAGCAAACATTTCTGAAATAGGGCACTGTTTTTCTTGCAAATATTTTTCTTTTTTCTTTTCTTTTTTCTTTTCCTTTTCTTTTCTTTTCTTTTCTTTTCTTTTCTTTTCTTTTCTTTTTTCTTTTCTTTTTTTTCTTTTCTTTTCTTTTCTTTTCTTTTCTTTTCTTTTCTTTTCTTTTCTTTTCTTTTCTTTTCTTTTCTTTTCTTTTCTTTTCTTTTCTTTTCTTTTCTTTTCTTTTCTTTTCTTTTCTTTTCTTTTCTTTTCTTTTCTTTTCTTTTCTTTTCTTTTCTTTTCTTTTCTTTTCTTTTCTTTTCTTTTCTTTTCTTTTCTTTTTTTCTTTTTTTCTTTTCTTTTCTTTTTTTTTCTTTTTTTTTCTTTTTTTTCTTTTCTTTTTTCTTTTCCTTCTTTTCTCTTTTCTTTTCTTTTTTCTTTTCTTTTCTTTTCTTTTCTTTTCTT